TGAGCACTAGTTCAGGTAAACCCTCAGCAGTGTCCAGGGCAGCAGTGCCAGAGGTCAACCAGGAGAGGTAAGACTGGACATTGGGGACAGGTGGGGATGGGAGGGGCAGGGACATTGGGGACAGGTGGGGATGGGAGGGGCAGGGACATTGGGGTTGGACAGAAGACTGGACATGGGGGTGGGGAGAGGAGTTGCACACAAATAAGATTGGGCATACAGTACATTAAGTTGGACAGATTGATAAGGCTTAACAAGGGTGGACTTTTGTGTAGATAAGAGTATATTAAAGTGGAGGGTTTCTTAGACACTTGAATATATATGTGGCCATCTACATTTGCGCACAACATCCTCAGTGGTCAAATTTCACTGAAGACAGCTTAGTATTATGTGGCATTAAATGGAAGCTAATATTTTGTGAGTTATCTGCATTTAAACTCCATATGATTAATTTTATTTTTGTGTTTTAATATATATGTAGACAATATGCACAAGTATTAAGACTGGTGTGTTATTTGCAGTGTAAACATCAACGTGGAAGAGAAGATCAATTTGACAGCTGGGCGAGACGGAGGTCTACAGAACATGGAGGTCCACGGTCTGGTCACACTGCGCGTCACAGACGAGAAATACGGGAGAATTAAGATAGCAGTCAATAATAGAGACCAAAGGGGGATCCAAGTACAGGTATGGGGTGCTTGTATAGTGAAAGATTTGTTCTGCATTGCTCAGTTTAGAAAAGATTGCTATATGTTTAAGGTTAAGGTTAGGTGAAGATGAAAGGCCTAAAACCAATTATTGCAGCGTCTAAAATTTTTGCATGATAAACTGAGCATCTTAATTCAACAACAACAACAAAACAATGCAGCGCACAGTTTCAGAGAAAATATACAACATTATGCTTTTAATTTGATTGCAAATTAATTCAGCACAGTTTTTGTCAGAAATTTCTCTTTTAGCAGCATAAAGAAGTTGGTTCTCATTAATGCCAGCATGTTTCACTGTTTTCCTCACTGTATTTTCTCCAGACTCATCCTAATGTGGATAAAAAGCGGTTTGCCTCAGAGTCTTGCATAGCCCTCAAGAACCCAGATAAGTCATTCCCTATGAAGACGGATGTGGGTGTTCTTAAATGGAGGTTCCAGACACAAGATGAGAGCTGTATGCCTCTATCTAGTAAGTCACCTGTGTTAAGAGAACTACAGCCTTGGTTCAAAACTGCTGGCTGTTTATTGAATGCTCAAGTTGCTGAAAACAATATTTTACATCCATTTTCTTGTTTAGAGGAAAGTGTGCGAGGACGTTTATACATTATGAACAATGCTAGTGATTAGAATCTGAGGCTGTCCACATCTAGATTTTTGTGATGAAAAATGTCCAGTTTATTGGACAGGTCAGATAAAACAACAGGATTAATTTTATGCGAATGTGGCCCATTCATCTAAGAAACTGATGGGTTTTTATTAAACAAAGATAAAGGACAGATAAGAGAAGACTAGTAAATGAGGATGAAGTAATACTTAATAAATGATGCATCGTCAATCTTTCCAGTAAATTGTTGGCCATCAGAGACCAGTAGTGGGTGTGATGTAAACATAGAATATACACTGGAGCAAGAAGATATGGAACTAAATGATGTAGTTATTACCATACCACTACCGTAAGTATAACAAGAAGATATGGAACTAAATGATGTAGTAATTACCATACCACTACTGTAAGTAGTGGTAAGTACACTAAATTGCACAAAAGATAAAGCACCATGCTGGAATGATGTTGAATAAAGCCCTGAACCCAAGGTAGAATTGAAGCAGTGAGAAAATTACAATTTCATGATATTAAGATACAGTTGTATTGTATAATAAGATATATTGTATATATATGGGATGTTAACTGGTCATATCCTCTCCACAGCCATGGTCAGTCTCCAGTGGTCAGTGATTGTGATACAATTCTATCATAATAAGATATATTGTATATATATATGTGATGTTAACTGGTCATTTCCTCTCCTCAGCCATGGTCAGTCTCCAGTGGTCAGTGATTGTGACGGAGAGTACAATTTTGACCGGGCAAAGACTCAACTTGAGTGGTCCATTCCTGTCATAGACTCTGGTAACAAGACAGGCAGTATGGAGTTCAGCATAGGAGGTCATCCTGACGACTTCTTTCCAGTCCACGTCTCATTTGTTTCCAAGAAATCTTTTTGTGATATAGAGGTATGTGTTTGTGTGGGCTTTTTTTAACATTGTTGTGTGACAGATGTTGAAGAGTTCATCTTGTCATGGATCTTTGATGATAATTTTAAAGGTTTATAAGAAGTTTAAATAGTAGATTATAGATGTAAATTAAAGAAAGAAATTATGCTGCGTATTTGCTTGAAAAATTGTTGAAGACTGTTCATAAAATTGGGACAGTGACATGGTATAACTGTTAGGTTTGTGTAACTTTTAAATGGAATTTTTTTAATATTTCAGTTAATTGATGTTCAAATGGTGGACGATGGTACGCCCGTCAAATTCTCCTCACAAGTTCTCTTCTTTGTGGACAATTATGAAATAGTATAACAGACGCATTCAGTATGCCTCCTGCCAAACGGATTAAATCTAGAACAAACTTTAGTTAATAGTGTTGGAATAATTGAATTAACACTGCCGTGCTGAGAGGAAAAGGCAACTCTAGAATACACGACCTTGGATTATGAGGAAAAAAATAAGGAAGGGACAAAATTTGTGAAGTTTTATGCAGCAGCAGCTATTCCATCTTGTTTTCATAGCAGTCATACTATGTTTGAGGAAGATACTGTAAATGTGTGAGGAGAGCTCAAGAATGGCCAACACATGTTGAATTATTTAATGTTCACATCTTCAAGTATCATTCATCACAACTGGCTGTCACTAGAAATCACTTCATCATTAAGATTACAACTACAGGGTTTTGTTTCCATAGTGAAGGGAGGGGGGGGGGAGTGACAATTGAAACCAGATTTTTAAAAAATTATATAGTGACAATGAAGTTGAAAGGGCTAGAGTCTGGGAGAGAATGGATCTTTAGAGTTTAGAATTACCAATATGTCAGTGTAATGAGCAGTTGCCTGGACTTCTGTGCTCACGTTCTGTGAAGAAAAGATGTATAGGTATTGCCAGGTGGAATAATGGAAATAATGAGGCCATGAAGTGCAGGAAAACTGAGGATTTTGAAAGTAAAAGTAATGTGGGGCATGTTACATTTGATCACAGGAAGAATACAAGCCTTGGGTAAAGTGTTGTAACATACATATTACAAAAGGACCTGATTGCCTTGCACTAAAATTATTTATATTTATCTTCTTTGTTTTTGCATTCATTTAAAAGTCAAGAAATTTTAAGACGTGGAGTATTGGAAACACAATGAAAATCATACTGGATTTTACTGGTTAAGAAAAAAAAACTTGGTTTGCTGTCAAATTATAGTGCAGACATTGATAAATGATGGACAAGAGACCTTTACGTGATACGGAGAAAGGAGGCCGGCAAGGTGCAGTCTTGTGTGTTTTGGAGCAAAATGGTGGAACTTGGTTTAGTTTTTTTGCTGCATCTTTTCTTTATGCATTCAAACTTGTATATAAGATGTATTTGTATATTCCATATATTCTGGGGTTAAGGGTTGGTATGCCCTGAGAAACTGACAAAGTAAAGGCTATTGTTAAAAAATCGGTGCAATTAAAATGCATGTACTGTAAACTGTCTGATTTTTGTCTTACTTTTCAGAAATTTTTTTCGGCAATGCTTCTGACAACCTTGCAATTTTGTTACTAAGATCTAATGCAGAGCTTCTGAGGCAGAGTGATATTTCAAAAACTGGTGTCCTTTCATATTGGGGGCACTGTTGCCGAAATGTTTTCAATGCAAGTAATAGGCATTTGAAAACTTTCCATTTCCTTTAAAAAGTGCGATATTTCTTCACCCCTTCTGTCTGCTGTGGTAAATGAAAAATAGCCAGAGAATGAGGCAAGATGTGTTTCAGTTGTCTTTACCATGATAAAGTCCTTTTGAAGGCAAAACCTGTATAAAAATTACTCTTCTGAAATGCTGTCTGGCTTTATTTTCTAGTTGACCAATTGTTTTGCTTTTACATCAAAACTAATAGTCCTTTTCCAAACAAGCATAACAAATAAAAAATTTCAATGAACTTTTATTTCAATAAAATATCAGTAAACGATGTAGGTGAAACTTACTTTAAATCACTGCACTGAGTATGTTTCGTCTGGTAACTTTTTCTCAGAAATATTGGAAAACTTCACATAGTATGAGGTACTTATCTAAATGTGGTCATAATGATAAATATAGCTATATAATATATCAAAGCTGTAATTAAAAGTGGATACTATGACAAAAGTACTTGAATAATTTACTTCCAGTAAGAATGTCAATAATTATCACCAGTGAGATCATAAGCTGTAATTGTTTTCTGTAGAATAATTAGAAAGTATTAATTTGGAGAATGGAAAAGTTCGTTAGTTGTCTGTTATTCATCAAATGCTATCAGTGGGAACGGAGTGCAACTAACCCTAATTAATTAATCTTGCTTTCATTTTCCTCTCAAAGCTTGAACATAACTGCAGTAGTCATTTACTACAGTACAACATAATATGGGACAAAGATTTGGGCAACAACAACAAAAATAAACCAAATATGAAAAAAAAATATATAAGATAATAAATACTGTGATGTCTTACTTTATATTTTCTAAATTTGCAATATATTGCAGCTCTACATAATAGATATACACATCAATCCACTAACCCTGACAACTTCTAACCAGGATTTATGGTGGTAAAAGCAAATTAATGTAATCATCACAAAATAAGCAGAAATCGCCTGTAGGGCTCGGAAATAATACCTTTTGGATCATGACTAACTCAGACTAAGTATAAAAGATGACACTTATACTGGTAATAAATAAATAAAAGCTAAGGTAAACTTCACCAGTATCTCTAGACTTGGTTTTTTTTTTCTGAGAACTTGTCAAAGCTCTGATTGCACAGGGGGCCTCAAACAGTTGATTAATAGCGTGGGATTTTGCAAGACAAGCATTCAAGCAATCAACATAATGTATATGTTCTGATAACAAAAATTGGGAAAAGAAAAATAAGCAACCAATATGTATAAATATAATTATAGATACTATAAACGTTTTACAGATATCAATTAACTTTTAAGTTATATATGTTTGTATGTAAAGAGATTTATCAAGGTATATAATATTAACAACACTTAAACCAATGATGATAAAGTAACATGATGCAATTATGCAATAAAATTCAATTATAAAGCTGCAATATAGTGGCACATTGAATACAGCTGAAATAAATTAAATACTTCATTAATAATAACTGAAAAAATCGAGTAAAATTGCACACAATATGATTTGACTTATAATCATCTAAAACTTAGTCCAGAAATAGGTCATCCAAGAAAATAACTCCTGCTTTTCATCCATGTTGATTTCAAATTGACCTCATTTCTCTCTCTGTCACAGCATGTGCTGACCTAATTTAAGTGCAAGATTACATTTCATGTTGAGATCAAATCTCATCAATAAATTCTGCAAACTGTAAATAAAAAACAGATAACATATGCCTAATTACAAATTACATCATCTGAAAAATGTTTACACTTTGCATTAACAATAAATAACACCAAGCTGAATACTTAGATTTCATATATATTTTGATGTTGTAGCTTATTTGTTACCAAGCATGTTATATTTGGCATATAGCCTACTCAATATGGGTATGTTAATGTAGAAATAGTTCAATACTGATAATGCTTACAAGGTATCCAATACAACACTAAGTTAAAAGATCAATGGATAAAGCATCTTTGAATAATAAGAATCATAGATCATGAATTCACTTTTCACATAAAGCCAGAATAATAATAAGTCTTTATCACCAGACACCAGTACTAATGCATTGTTGTTCTGTAAATATTTCACCGAAGTTTTTCTTTGATCTCTTTAGAAGTCTGTACACAGTACCCCGTGTTTCAGAGTGGAGAACTATATTTTTGTATATTTTGGTTATAGAGGATAGTCTCTGCCATCCTCAGGGTATAAAGCAGCTTCCTATGTCAAAAATAAGTGCATTTTGAGATTAGATTCCTTGTTTTATACAAATTGTTCCTTGGCTCTTAGGCTCAGGTTAATTTCAAGACTTTCCCCTACAACTCTGTTCTTGTTAGCTTTAGGCTGCAACATTCAGGGCAACTGTCATCACCACATCCAGAATAATGTTGTTTATTAATTTATATGTACGATTAAGAAGAACAGAAGATATTCTATATTATGACAAGCAGCAATTTTTCAACTAAATGCAAAGCAAAAGATGAATAATGAAAATTATTAAAGGGGTATGATCCCTTCATCATACTTCTGTCACTAGTATTAGTATATATAATTCACAAGAATGATCATAGGTCTAACTAGTTTGCTTAAAAGAGCACAAACATTGTTTCATATGTATTGCACATGTATCAAAACTGGGAAAATTAATGAAAATTATTTATACTGGAGACTTTAGATCTCAGTCTATCAGCACTTCTATTAGCCTTGCAAATCTTTTATCTTTAACAAATCTATACCAAAATTGTGCTTTTCTGTATCACAAGGTAAATGCGGAGCAGGGTAAATGTACCTGACTGCTTTTAGAAACGTCAAATGCATATTTTACAATTGTGCTTTTACTTTGTGTCTATTACCACTGCACATCTACATTACACTACTGCTACATAGGCCACATTCAGACCAGTAGACTTAGGCTTCGTTCACATGCAATGTCTATTTTCTAAATTCTATTTTCTATTCGCG